CCATAATTCCCAAGAACCAGAGGCACGGACAAGAGCGGTGTAGTGGCCAGGAGTATATAGAATATAGGCACAAACGTGCGAACAGTGGTCCGGGTCGCCACCCGAAGGGGCACGCTGCATATCAAGGCGGCGCCTTATCAAAGCAGTCTCCAAAACAGAGACATTGAATCCCCCATGTCGAGTGTAATTACTATCCTGTGGGGGATGCAGAGTCGGGTTATTGCCATATAACTCACGTTCCTGAGCATCAAGATCGGAAGCAATGGCCAGAAGAGAAGAGGAGGGGGCAATTATGTGAGGGAGATGGTGATGGCGAGAGGAACAGAGAGATGACACTTCTGTCTTCTTCTTCTTCTTCTTCTTCTTCTTCTTCTTCTTCTTCTTCTTCCTCCTCCTCCTCCTCCTCCTCTCCTCCTTGTCCTCGTTCCATGTCTTCTTGAGTTGTGATGCCATGTCATGGAACATATCTTTCTTTTCAGATCCTTCCACTACTCCTAAGGCTATACAGGGGACCCCTGCAAGCATAGCTTTCTACCTCTCTTCGGTGAAGGGAGGTTGCCTCTCTCGGAGGAGAGGGGTAACGGCATGTTTGCCCCTTTGCCCTAGCGTTTAGGGTGCAGGGTTGGGGCCGCCGGTGGGGGCCCGGCTAACACAAGGACCGAGCATTTGCCAGTAACTGTGCCTACCTTTTCATCTTCCCCCACCCCCATCGAGTAACAGTAGTGTCTAAAGCCAACAGTCTCCCACACACCACATGCAACCCACTCACACACGCAGTCACACCCATGTTGGCTGAAGACCTTACTCATACCAACTGGGAGGATCCAGCTGACTATCTCAGTTGGTTGGCACCAAGAGTGCTACAGGCGGCCATGAGGATTGAACCCACGACCTCCTGAATGCCACTTTTTGTTTGTCTGTTTTTCAGGAACAAAAAAGACATACATATGTCCAAGAGGGCTAGCTCAGTTGGTTGAGCACGTAAGTGGCATTCAGGAGGTCGTGGGTTCGATTCCCCAAGTCGTCCATTTGATTCCCACGACCTCCTGGGGGCATGCTGTGGGTTCACCAGCGGAAAAGGTTGGCTTGGGCCTCCTGGTTTGTTAGGAGGTGCTGTTCTAACCTTCTAGCCAGCACCAGGTGCTAGGAGTACTGCTCCCCGCAAAAGAGCAGAGTTAGGTAAGGCTGGGATATAGAGAGAGCATGTAGAGTTGTAGACCCATAACCTTAGGATAGCCTAGGCTTAGCTAGTGAATTTAAGGTCCTGTGTTCCCTTCATTCATTGTCTCTTGGCCCGTTGCCTGTCCTTGGTGGCCTTAGGGTCCTCTGCCAGGTTGGCTAGTATACGGGGGAGGTAGCTAGAGTGACGAAAATACGGAAAAAAAATAGAGAGAAGAAAGTAGGATAACCGAAAAATACTGCTGTTCCCGATATCATGATGAGGAGATGACAGAGTTTTTTTTTTTCTCATAAAAAAAAGAAAAGGAAAAGGAAAGAGAAAAAAAAGACATACATACAGCCTGGCACGCTGCAGACTACTCCCAGAACTCGGGTTTGAACTTTGAACTGTTGTGTGTAATGAGCCTGAGGGCTGCAGGGTTGATCCTGGATCAGGACCCTGGGCTGCGGTATTCCTTGTTTTGGGATAGACTGGAGGCATGGCAGTATTACTACCATCTTCCCCCAGACATAATGCATCATCACCATCACCATCATCATCATCATCATCATAGTTGTATTTGGGGTAACATTTGGGCCACATATAGCTATAATTCCCAGATATTATGTTTGTGGGAAGGTAATAACTTATAAGCTGTTACAGATTGCATAATCACTGAGCATGTAGACACACAGTGGGCTCGATACTCACAGCTCGAACCTCCTGTTCCACCTGGGCCCGTCCTCGCTCCAAATGTGTAGGCCGGCGCCCCTCGGACAGGCTTGATTGTGTACTCCCCTGGTCCAGGCTGATCCCCTCCACCTGTCATTCATCGCATTGCACAAACAAACCAATCACAACATGCCAATAATTGTACTGATCAACTCGGAACAGGTTTCAAACAAGTCTGAGTTTTTTTTTTTTTTTTTTTTTTTTTTTTTTTTTTTTTTTTTTGGGTAATCCCATTTCATTTTCATAGCCGGGGACCGTGTCCAGCGTCCCGTACAACGAATGATGAATCACTCTACGCTTCCTTCCATTATGGTTGAAGGACCCTGAGTCAGCGGCATTGATTGCTTCCTTTGTGGAAGGATTTACCACCACGCCAACCCCTGTCAAAATCTCTTTCTTTCTAGTTCCTCTCAGTTCCTCAGCTGTCTGAAATTCCCTTATGTTTCTAACTTTCCAGAGTTTTTTTTGTGCTGAGCTCAATGCCGATTCAAGCTCGGGACCTGGTTGCCAACACTAACGGGTCTTCAATCAATTCAAATCGACTTGCACACTGTACTTGCATTTGAAAATTGAGCGAAAAGGACAGACACGAAGAGAAGCCACCGGCGCCCGAAGCCTGCGCCGTGCGTGAGCAAAACGGAGAAGATTGGCATGGCCCCCCTGAGCAGAAAAAAAAAAAAAACGAGAACAAAAAGATCACCCCCATTGACGACCCAACTGGGACACATCTGACAGCAACCACGTCCAGAGGCCAGTCATCGCTGCTGTGCCTCTTTTCTAAATGTAACTGCCCCCAATACCAGCCCAACTTGGAAGCATCTGACAGTGACCATGTCCGGAGCTCAGTGGAAAAGAAAAAAGAACAAAGCGCCAACACGCCTTTTCTAAATGGATCTGCCCCCAATCACAGCTCCACTTGGATGCATCTGACCGCCACCACATCCAGAGCTCAGTCAAAAAGAAAAAGAAAGAATCGCCAGCGCACGTTTGCTAAATCCATCTGCCCCCAATTGTCATCCAGACACTTCTGGAAATTGCCACACTCCGGATTTAGACTGATGGGAACTGCAGACACTTTTGGGTACGTACTACGTATGTATCTGGACGATTGCACATCCACATACTCCCGGAATGTTTGCGTTTGCAGCACTGTGCCTCCCATGCCCCACCCAACTGACACTGGATGCTTTTTGGTATGTATCTGGACGAATACTGTTTGCAGCGCCCACGTGGTTCTGGGTGGGATGACGCCCCCTCTCACCCCATGCGGTTCCGGGTGGGATTATGCCCCCTCCCCGCATGGTTCCTATCCCGCCTGGGCCCGTCAGGCAAGACCTGCCGTTTGCTTGACTAGTACTATTATTATTATATTGTATCATACTTGCAACCGCACGAGCCGCACATTTGTGCGGAGTCCCGTGCGGAGTTCTGTGCGGGGGGTGGCTGTGCGGAATCGTGCAGGTTTTTTATTTTTATTATTATTATTTTTATTTTTTTTTGGGACGGGGAACGGGGGGGCGTATGACAGGAAGATGGGGATATGGCAAGGAGAGAGGGATATGGAGAGGAGGAGGATGTGGACGAGGAGGACGACTAGGATAGCGAGGACGACGAGGAGGAGTCGTCGAGATGGGGGAGGAGAAGAGATGGACGAAGGGAAAAGAGGAAGGGCAGGAAGAGGACGACGAGTGGGAGGAGGAGGAGAGATGGATGGCGGGAAAGGGGAGGACATGAGGAAGGGAAGGAGACGAGGAGGCATGGAAGATGAGGAAGTACGAGGAGGAGGAGGAGACAAGGAGGATAAGGAAGGGCAGGAGGAGGAGGACGAACAGGAGGAGGAGGAGGAGGAGGAGGAGATGAAAAGGAGAAGGGAGGAGACATGGAGGATGAGGAAGGGGAGGAGGAGCAAGGTGAGGCAGTACTCCTGTAAATTTTTTTTTCATCTCGCTTATAATTTTGGCGGGGGGCCTCAAACGCACCGTTTCGACCCTGGCCTTTTTTTTTTTCTGAGGGGGGTGACGGGTCGTTCTCCGCACACGTCGTGCGCCGCACGGGATCGGTTGGGCGCGTGCGCCGTACGTAGGGAACTGCCCGCACGACGTGCGCTTGCATGTATGTATTGTACACAATAATAAAAAGCGGTAGAGGCTAGCGGGCCCACTTGCCTTACTGATTTCTGGAGCGACATAGGCTCAGATTGTCAGGTTGGTGCCCGTTAATCTGCACGCTGATGTTTGATTTATGGTGCAAGATAGCAAACCACTCGCTGGCTGAAGTGACCACCCAAATTGAGTTTGATCAAGCATTGGTCTACTAGTACAAAGAGCCAATCAACGTGATAATCGTGATTGTATGCCAGCCAAGGCCCTTCAAAGTGAATCTGTGTGTAAGCTTTTGTTTTTTTTCCCCCTTAGCCTGCCTGTCTGCAATATCAAGCGTCCATGCAAATGCAAATGGAGTAGGTCCTCAGTCTTTTTTTTCAGGAAAAAAATTGGACCACGCTGATCTTCTCTGCATCGTTCCAATTTTCGCGGATGTCCGGAAGGACGTCCTCAGTCATCATTTCAAGACAAGGGCGATATATTCTTCTTTTAAACCATCGCTACCTTTCACAGGCAAACTCGAAACACCAAAATACCGTACACTGCATTCTTCAAAGGCCGGGGGCCACCAGACCAAAATGGCTGGCGGTGCCAGCCAAAAGAGAGAAAAAAAGTTGTGGTGGCGCTTTGGCAAAGTTTGGCACGCAGTTCTTTTCCACCTCGATTTTTTGGGACTGGGGGGGCGGCGCAGCACGACTGGGAGCGCTGTGCCGGCCGTACCTGGATTTCGGCCTGTACGAGTGGTGTGGCAGAAGGGGCATTGGGGCGCAGAGTTGCCGGCCCCGTGAGGGACGGCCCAGCGAAGTGACTCGGTGAGGACGTATGGCGGCGCAAGTGGCTCGCATGGAGATGTTGGTGACGGCGCCGCGCGAGGAGAGGTTGGCGACAGTGTCACATGATGGTTCATGGTTGGTAGCTTAGTTTCCTCCGTCCTCCTTCATTTACACTGCGTGAAGTGGCAGACAAAGGGTTCTGCTGCGGGCTTGAATCTCCTGTGGTAACTCGTCGACGGGCTCGACGAGGCGTCACCACACCATCCAGTGTTTTGTAGGGTTGTGGATGGCCGCCGGCAGCTGAGGCTGTCACAGCTGACCTGAAGGGAGGCTTGATGTTTCCGTCCAGAAGGTGGTGGGGTCGGGTTCGAGTGATGGTAGGTGGATGAACGGGAGGCAGACTGAGTTTTTCGAGGGACTCTTCATGGAAGAATAGCGCTTCAAGGAGGAAGGAGGACATTGACAACCTGATTCGAGAGGCCTTCTTTTTCGAGTTTGACATATCGCCATCTCAAGTGAAGACGGTCGCGGGTGATGCAGTTTTGCGTGTCGACACAATCTCAGGGCTTCGAGTTCAATAGTGCTTTCTGTTTTTTTTTTTTTTTTTTTTTTCTTTTCTTTTCTTGTGAAAGCCCCTGTGTAAGCCCTCCATCCCGGCGATGGTAAGAGAATCGTCCGGATTGAGGGCTTATCTATTGGGCTGCGCCATCTATTGGTGGGGAGCGGCACCTGCTGGAAACCGGGTCCAGCGTCCCATAAAAAGCATGACTCACTGGGATAGTTGTCTTTTGTTTCAGTGGCTGCGGACCTATTTGTTCTCAATAGTGCTTTCTGATTTGGTTGTTCCATGATAATCGGTCTGTCCTTGTACGACTTGTTTGTCTTTTCTATTCTGATTTCTAAGTTCGTAGTGTTTTCTGATTTGGTTGTTCCATAAAAATCGGTTTGACCTTGTACTACCTGTTTGTCTCTTTTATTCTGATTTCTAAGTTCACATGTCGTAATCCTTGATGTTCATCAAAATGATAACGATCTAATCCAGAGTTTTTGAATTTCAAGTGAATCTTAATTGTGTCTGAAATAACTTCTGGGCAATATTTCTTAAATTGGAGATTCGTAAATCAGAGCTCAGCTCTGATCTCAAAGGATGAATACTGGTAACAATTGGCAAATGGTTTTGAAGTTCTTGAAGTTCAGTCTAATTTGCAAGTAACTCTCTGGACGTCTTTTTTTTTTTTTTTTTTTTTTTTTTTTTTTTTTTGTGTGTGTGTGTGTGTGTGGTCCGATGGACCACGGATCAGATACTAAACTGATCAGAACAGATACTACACTTGATCTTAGCCAAAAGGCCGAATTTTCTTAAAGTACGACTTATTCTCAATTTGATGTTTGTAAATCACAGTTTGCTGAACTTTGCTCCGATCTCAGAAGTAAATTGTCAACTAATGGATTACTAATTAACTCAGTCCTAGTCGATTAGTCTAGTTAGGTGTGAGTTGCTAAAATTGTAGAGTAGAATCAGCTTCGATCTCAAATGGTGACTACTCAAGTAATTGGTCTTATTTTGTTGTTCTTAGCAATTGAGCCTCAGTCCGTGATGTTGTGGGATCGGGGTCATAGATGTTGAGTGGATTATCTCCTTTAGGGTTGGAGTCCCTCTCTGCAAGGGTTACACAAGGTGGGTAGGGGCGGTATTGAGGGTTTGTCCTTTTCTGTGCCATACTGATTTTTGGGTCAGATCAGCTATGGTGGTTGAGGAGAAAGGACAAGGGGTGCCGATGTCAGCAGGGTGAGAGTTGAGAGGGCTGTTCCGCTTGGAGGGGGTGGGGCAGGAAGGAAGGGGATCTTCGACTCTGCGGGGGCATACTTTAGGTGGTACTGTATGCGACTGAGGCAGCAGGAGGGGTATTCTGGGGGCTGGTCTGAACTGGGGCGGGAGGGTGAGGGGGCGCCTTCCTGCGGAGGCAGTGAACAGACAGGGGGTTGTCTTTTGGGGGAGAGGAGTAATCCCTTTGGTTCCTGTGACCCCTTTACATGTATCTGAGACTTCAATACGCGCTGGAGTTTCCATGGGGTTTCCCCTCTTCCTGTGGGAATAGGAGGCGCTGAAATGTTCATGTGTTTTTTTGGAATCTTTTGATTTCCTGTTCTCCTAATTGAAAAATTCTTCCAAGCTTTGGTGCTGAAGGCAGGGGGTAGTGGTGCTGTGACGGAGGGAGATGACGCACTCTGCGGCGAAGGGACTAGCCTGTAGGGTTGAAATAGGGTACAACAGCGGTGGAGATGGTGACTTCACCGTGATAAGACTTGCTGGAGTAGGGCTGAGAGGGATTTTTTGGGGGATACCTGCAACCAGTGCATGAAAGGGATGAATGATAGGATCTACAACTATGGTGCTAATTGGTGGCTTGACTGGTATTTGACTTAGTCCTGAGTCTCGGTGGTTTGCGAATGGACGAGGCCAGAACGACGCTGGTCGGTGCCGGGGGTTGGTTGCGCTGCCCTGTAACTTCGAGCTGTACGAGGGCATGAAACCTGGTAGAGAGATCTGGGGAGTTGTCGAGGGTGGAAGGCACTCTAGTGTCTTTTGGTGAGCCAGTGCCTAGTCGATGCTGGCCGGAGCCGGGACCGGTCGCTTTGCCCTGTGGCCTACCAGGTGGGGGGTTTCTGGGGTGGGCCGTGCCACTCTGTAACCTACCAGTTGGGGGCATCAGGCCTGGTAGAGATTGGGCATCGGGATATAGGGGTGAGGCAGGTAGTGTTGGGCCGCTGAAAGGCCCTAAAGCAGGTGGTGAGTGGTTGAGCAAGGCCCATAATGAAAGCCCCGACATTTCCGACAACACTGCTGACATACGGCCTCTCTCCACTACTCACCACATGCACAAAAGACAAAAAATATGGCGATGTATCTTTCCGTGTTCTACCTGATGGTTCTTTCCCATTTTGCACATTGTGTGAGTCACGAATGGCTAGCGGCCGTTACCCATCTCTTTGTGTTTTGTTTTGTTCTTATTCTTTTCTTCTCCTCTTCTTCTTCGGGTTTGTTTTGTTTTGTTTGTTTGTTTGTTTGTTTGTTTGTTTGTTTGTTTGTTTGTTTTTTTTTTTTTTNTTTTTGTGTTGTTGTTGTTGTTGTTGTTGTTGTTGTTGTGCATCAGCAATCCGCGCAGCTCGCAAAGCGCACCCGCACCGCACAGGGGCGCCACAAGTATGGTCTGTAGTGTTTACCATTTCCACCGAGTGAGTATGCTCACTATCGGACATGTACCAATAACGCTTAAGGCCCACCTTTTACATAAATAAAGCAAAAGGTCCTAAAACAGCCCATTGAAGTTTGCAAAGGCAGGCAGAAAGTAGCTCTGTGAAAATGCATCTGGTTGTGCAGATGCCTAAGTGCATAGTCTGCCTGGATGTGCAGAGGCCCACCTTTTTAAAATAACTCCGGTGCACCCACCCCTTAGCAGCAGAACTACGTCACGTGTGAGTGAGGAGCTCGTTACCATCCATGCAGATCCTCACGCATCTCTTCTTTTTTTTTTCTTTCTTTTTTTTCTTTTTTTAACAGGAAAACCAGCGACCACTATCTCCATAATTGACAATCCATAAGTTTCCATGCAAACTTATTTTCCATGCAAACTTAGGGGGTACTCGTACTTGCCAAGGTATATCACACCCAAAATTACTGTCGGATTCATTTGGCCAAGTCCTCGTATGGGAGTGACTTATTATGCTGCTACTGTAATTATGAATGAATTGGACATGACAGATTGCCCATACACATTCAGGATGAGTGTGTGTTGTGTGCAGAAGAAGAAGACGGCACTGGCCCGCTACCTGCCACCCCCAACCTATAGGTAAGAGGAGTGACGCTGCTCACAGCGAGGGCCACCCTCACATATTGAACTTTGAAAGCTGACCCAATCCTCTGAGACGATGACCCAATCCCCTTACAGGGTGAGGTGATGTGTACAGCGGTCAGCTTCTATCACCTGGCATGAAGGCAGCACAGGGCAAGGAAAACTCTGCCACGTGGGCCACGTTTGGCATGTCCATTTCCCCCCTGTCCCTGGGCTACCATGGGGAGTGATAGCCCCTGCAGCGTCGTCCACATGGGTACCATAGCTCAGTCTGGATCCCTGCTGCGGAGGCCTGAGCAAATGAAAAACCTTCAGGGGTTCTCAACAGTGGAGACTTGACGCGATGGTTCATCACCAGTCTAATTTTGTTTAGCCACATGCAACACACACACACACACACACACACACACACACAGAGAGAGAGAGAGAGAGAGAGAGAGAGANAGAGAGAGAGAGAGAGAGAGAGAGAGAGAGAGAGAGAGAGAGAGAGAGAGAGAGAGAGAGAGAGAGAGAGAGAGATCCCTATGGTTTAGACTTCTGAATGACCAACAAGCCAGCAGAGTTCAGTGGATTGAGGTAGTCTTGACTGTGAGACTTTCTCAATTGACTCTTGGCTGTGATGACTGTATATCTAAGAGAGTCCTCATTGACTGAGACTTGTCACTTCTGGTTGTATCGACCTTTGATTTCCAGACCAAATATAAATGAACGAGTCATGGCCAGAGAAGGCGGCAAATGCAAACCTTGTCCCTGATATGTCTTGGTGCTTAAGGAGTATGCCGGTCCATCCTTTGCTCTGCTAATAGCGTAGGATCCAGGTCCTGGTGTATCCTCTGCGACATGCAAAACCAAGCAAAAAAGTGTTATTGGATGCTTGTAGGACACCATTCCATCAAAACAACCTTCACCAGTGTCATCCTCATCCTCATCCTCATCGTTACCGTTGTTATCATCATAGTCATTATTGTGGTCATCATTGTAATAATTGTCATTATTTTATTGTCATCGTTGTCGTCTTTTTGCTTTTTTTTTCATAGACTCCTTATCCATTCTGGAGAGCATAAGTCCGGTTTCTACTCCACCGGCAAGTCCAAAAGGATACATCGTGCACTCACTCCGCGCTCCTCCCCATTATGGTCGGAACGCCCGAGCGGACTGCACTGATTACTTCCTTTCGGGAAGGATATACCACCCCCCACCAATATTGTCCCTACTAGCTTGGAGTGCGGACAGGTACTGGGATGGGTCGGGTGTCATTATCATCATTGTTATTGCTGTTAGCATTGCCATCCTCATTGTGCTCAGCCTCCTCCTCCTCCTTATTGTCTTTGTCCTCATGATTGTCACTGTAATCACCCGCATCTTCATTCTGGTCCTCACTGTGTCGTCGTAACTGTTTTCTTCATCATTATTGTCCTTTTCACCATTCAATTGAAAGGATTCAAGCTGCAGACACCCAGTCCCGGTCCAAGGGTCCCAACAAGTCCCGAGTCCCAGGGCCGTCCCGCCGGGTAGGCCGTAGGGTCTAGAGGCCGAAGTGTCGTAGGTCGGTAGGTGTCGGTACCAAAGCATCGTAGGTCGGTAGGAGTCCATCCGGTACCCGACAAGAAAAGTCCAGAAGCGTCCAGTCAAGTCCGACAGTCCCAAGTCCAATTTTGCAGCATGTCCCAGGAACGTCCGGAAGCTACCGGACCGACAAAATGTTTGCAGAAGACAGGCCGCAGCTGACCGGTACCGGTCTGACGCAGGCCGAGCCAAGCCAAGCCAAGCCAAGCCAAGCCAAGCCAAGCCAAGTCCTATATTTAGCTGCGGCTCATCACCAGTTCAGTTGCGAGATGCAGAAATGCTGCTGCTGCTTGTGCGTTAAGGCAACTTGTGCACTGTGCGCCTGAAGAAGACGAGGGTGCTCGTGAGATACTCCATAGCTAGGCTAGAGGTAGAGCAGGAGGACGCCGGCCATGGCCGCCAAAGTGTAAGTTACCTGAGTAGGTGTATCCCGGGTGACGATCTAGGTTAGAGAGAGAGAGAGAGAGAGAGAGAGAGAGAGAGAGAGAGAGAGAGAGAGAGAGAGAGAGAGAGAGAGAGAGAGAGAGAGAGANAGAGAGAGAGAGAGAGAGAGAGAGAGAGAGAGAGAGAGAGAGAGAGAGAGAGAGAGAGAGAGAGAGAGAGAGGCAGAGCGAGCCAAGTCAGAGAGAGAAGCAAGACGAAGAGAAAAAAGAGAGAGAAGAGAGAGAAGCCATAGCCGCCACCTGATTGAGATCCGTTGTGTGTGTGTGTGCAGCAGAGCTGCTGGAGACAAACATTCTTGTATATTGATAATAATATTGGAGACGACATCTTCAAATGTTGATTGTCTCTCGATGTGGCTTCTCATGTGTGAACTCTCACGTGAATGTTCATTGATGTATGCGAGGTTGACTCTGACGAGTACTTGGTTCATTTCATCATCCTCATCACGTGGAGGCCACACGTTTTTTTCCAGGGTAGCATAAATTTTCACATTATTTTGATGTATTCCTTCTTTCTCTTCTTCTTCAGACATAGGGCCTCGCCGGACGGTAAGAAAAACGAACAAAAAAACGAATTCGTTTCGTGAGTGCGCCGCCGCACAGCATACACACGATTGTTGTCAGGAGCAACGCACGAATTCTGTCAGAAAAAGGATTCGCGAGGAAAATGCGTGGGCGACTGCCTCCCAGCCTGCAAAACACACGAACCCATAGGTCCTCGGTGAGGATGGTGGAGGCCCTGTGGATTCTCGCGAGTGCACCGCAAACGTCCAACTGGTGTCCGTCCAAATTCTTGGACCGTAGTGCTTGCCAGACTCAGGGAAACGTTTGTCCATTTGCCATCAGGGCATGGCTGCGTGGATATTCGCGTGTGCTATGCGGCGGTGAGCACAGAAACGAGGCGAAACGGCGAAATAGGGCCTCATGAGCCCTCGCGAGTTACGAGGCCGTTTCGTTTCGTTTTTCTTACCGTCCGGCGAGGCCCATAGACAAGGCACAAAACTTTTATCGAACTTGTATGCTCTTTTCAGATTTGTCTTGTTCAAGTGCTTGGAGACAACCTCTGAAGTAAATGCGATATCAGCGTTGTCAAACAAAACTATATCCTTTTCTTTTTTTCACACACTAGGGCCTTTTTCAACTGAACCTGGCCTCAATTGAGGGTGGATAAGCACAGGCAAGTAGATGGTCAAGGAGGTCCCAAGAAACGTACAAAACGGACAGTAGGTAAGTGCACACATACACATCTCAATCAGTAAGTTCCAAAATTCAAAGATCTTACAGATATATATACATAGAAAAAAAAAAGAAGTTCACACGGCCCTGGCTCCATATCCATTCTGGGGAGCATCAGCCCGGTTTCTATTCCCCCGGCAAGTCAAGAAAGACCTGTTTCCAAAAAAAAAAGAAAAAGGTTCATAAGCAGTTCAAGAACCTGTCGATTTGACTTGTTGAATGGAATAACAGGTAATATCCTGGAAAAGAGTCAAAATGGTTCGAACTTCAAACTCCTGGAAAGACCTGGGCACAGGCAAGGGAGAAAAGTGCAAGGAAGTCGCCCATTTACCTCCAAGTCTGGTCGGAAATCGGGCTCCGAAGGTGTATGCGGGAGCATCATATTGAGCTGTCACCACCATGATGTTCTATTGACAAGTATTCTCAACCAGGCTGTACCAGGAATACCCTCTCCACCAGGAAGAACCACTTGCTCATACAACCACCACCGGTCTACTGTCGAAACTGCGTTGGGATTCGCATTACAACTGGGAAGAACCTCTGGTGTGGACATGAACCTCCCCTGTCGAAATTAACAGCTACGGCTTATGGCAGAAGGGCACCACTCACTTGCCCTCCTTTAGCTGGCAATCCAAACCACATTCGCATCAAAGCCCTCGTCACTCTGACACAGCGTAATCACATTTTCCAACATAATTGAACCGATGAATATAGCCCCCAATGTCCAACCAGTTTAGCCATGACTGACAACCAATCTATTGGTATCCATCCGTCTATCCATCCATCCATCCATCAGTGAATCAACTGATCAATCACACAATCAACTGGTCAGCCAATGATTTACTTTTTTTTATTAGCTGCCTGATTGATTCATTGATTCATTAAGTAATTGATTCATTGATTCATTGATTAATTGATTCATTGATTGACTCGTTGATTGATTGACTCGTTGATTGATTGATTGATTGATACTACCAAATGCATTAATCGATTAGTTAGCTGATGAATTGACTGATAGATTGTTAGCAGGTGGGCAGGTACATATGAAAGGGGACGTAGGTCTGTGGGGTAGCCAGCAATCTAAGCACCTATGTAGGTATGTAAAAACATAATAGAGCCATTCATATGCCCTTGCAACAGTGCTGGCTAGAAGTCTCACTGGTGCCACAGCCAGTCTCCTGTGTGATTGTCGATTTGGGTCTGTGTACACCGGGTCATGGGATTGATATCCATATGGGGTGGGGTGGTATCCCACAATGGCTTCACTTTCACCCTAGCTCACTTTGCCTGCTGGTTAAGTGATCCACCTCTTTGGTGACAGGTCACCAATTTGATTCCTACGTGCTTGGCCTTGAACTTGACTCTGTGTGTGTTTTGTAGATTGTCACCACAACAGCCCTGTTCCACCCAGACAAATAGATGCAAAATTGAAGCAGCTTTACCTCTATGGCAGACAAATAGATGCACAATAAAAGCAGCTTTACATCGTATTCGAATATCGTTCTCGTTCTCCCAGATTTCCCCTGTTTCCAGATCCCTCTTTCAGGTCGAATTCGAGGTCTGAGATGCAGAGATCAGGTTGGAAGATTATCCAGGGTTTGGCTTTTGTGACCCTCACTTTCCTCGATCGCAAGGATTCTAGCATGTCACATTGGGGTTCTTTGTTCATAACTTCCAGCTCTTGTTGGTTGTGATTAGTGATCGGGTAGGAGAAAAATCTGGAGAGGTAGCTGGGTGCATTGGTTCGGGAAACAAATCAGTAAGCTCTGCGGGGCTGGGTTTGGGAAATGAGTATGCCCAGTCCCAGGATTTCCACGAGAACTCCTCCCTTAAGAGGGAGAGCCACGGTGTTGGGATGCTCTTCTGAATCTGTGTTCGATTTTCTGTGAGGGTGTGGCAGCCTTTTAAGTTCGGTTAACCACTGTCTTCGATCTTCTGCCCAAATGTGTTTCACCTGCCACACCCCTTTTTCCACCCAGGATAGCCATCTCCTGTCTTTTGTCTGTAGTGCCCAGGGTGAGCCACTCAGATCTACGATGCAGGAATTGCAGAACTGAGGTTGTCTCAAGACCTCTTCTCTGTTTCCTGGTGCACTGTGTTTATTCGACATCATTCTTCGCCAGGCTTTGAGGGGTGGCTTCCAGTATGGATTTGTTGTTGGAGTAGGGCTTGTAAGTCGATCTGTTGGGTTTCCTCTGCTCTGTCTGCCTGTTACATGCTGCGCCTACAACAAGGGCCATTTTCAGGCCCCGTGTCGTTTCAGCCTGAAAGCCTGAAAACAAGGGCCTACAGGCCCTGTGTCGTTTCAGCCTGAAAGCCTGAAAACAAGGGCTGTTACATACTGCATGTCACACGGGTCCCTTTCGGACCCGACCACTAGGCTAAGGGGTACTTAGGCTGGCCCAGCCAAAGGCCGGACCCCTTCTCCCGGTAGGCCGCATTTGAGGCCACCGGTTGGTTTCCTGCAGCAGACCAGGTCCCGGCCCAAACGACATTACCGTTGGGCCTGGCGGCATTCTTGAAGCTGCCGTTCGCGGGTCTGATCTGAATCGTCAATCTGGACGACTCATATCACGGTGCGCTGGGCAGCATTGAGGCCGACAGCCGCCGGCCGGTACTTAGGCCGGTCCAGCGGCCAGTCCAGCATCTTGGAGCAGCCGCATTGAGGAGCGACCACGCTGCGCTATTCTGGGTTCAGCGCAGCGCTGGAACTGCAGCGCCAAGTTTAGCGCACTGCAGTAAGGGAGAGCGAGGAGGGGGACTTACCTGACCAGCAGCGACGAGCGCTATAACTCCCAGCAGCACAGCCATTTCCCGCAGCAGCCAAGACGCCACCTTGTCCCATCAGGTAGGGCCTGGTGCAACTCGCCATCTCCGTCTATGCTCTGCCCTCTCTTCTCCTCCCTCTTCATCTTCAGACTTCTCCTTCTTCCTCTTCAGACTTCTTCTTCTTCTTCTTCTTCTTCTTCTTCTTCTTCTTCAGACTGGAGACCTTGATACGAGTTGGACAGAGATAAGTGATTGGACTTCGGTGGTAGGAGACTGTGATACTTACCGGATTCGAGACATTGGAGATAGTTGGGATTGATACCAGGCGACATCACATATTGGCGCTACATTACAAGGAAACCCGCTGAAGGTGGTCTCGGTATCATAGATCAACTCCTCACCAAATCGGGAACAGCATGGAACAATCTGGCGTTAGACAGCATTAGAGGGCTGGCGCCAATATCGACACCAGCAAACATGTCGGGCCTGTTCTGGGTAATGAACAAGGAATGGACCCCAAAAACAGGCCGCAGAAACCAACAAAAAAATGGAACCCCCACTGGAACCAG